TCAAGCACGTTGACATCCGTCACCGCTTCATTCGGGAAAATGTGGTCCGAGACATCATCGTGGTAAAGTACGTATCAACGGTGGACCAACTTGCTGACATGTTGACCAAGTGACTCAAGTACATGCTACAAGCGAGTGGCATCGGACCCAAGCACACACAGCATTAGCGGTGAGTGGGAGTGTTGGGATTACACCACTGAATGCTTGTTGGACAGGCGGATGACGTCAGATGGTTACGGTTACAGTTACGGTTACATTTATGGTCAGTAATTACGGGCGCGATACGGTTAGTGATTACGCACGCAATGGCAGTCGCTGATAGGCTAAGATAAATCAGGATCTAGTATAATGAGCCTAGTATATAAAATGAGTGGCTTAGAAGTAGCAAGCAATTTGCGAACTAAGGACCTAAAATATATTCACTTCACATTTTGCGCTCAACTGGGCACAACTCAACAATGGTCTATCATGTTAATGCATTTGTCAAGGTTGTGGATTGAATGGTTCAGTTTCCCGGTTTATAGCGTTATAATGCTAAGTATATTACAAGAAGACGAGCGAAAATTGCGAAGAACGACAAAACGGATGTGTTTACTGTCCAATCATCAAATCAAAATATTTAATGAACTGCGGGCAACAAATTTTGCGCTTGTCGTGTAATACGGAGTACCTTCCCTTACTCTTCGCTTTAAAGCATGTACAAAAGTAGCAGTGATTTGGCTACGTTTTGTGTATCAAGCATTGGAAGACTACCTTGTATACGGAGATTGATCTTGGGACTGTTTGCGAGACTGGAGAGTCTGCCTGATTCTAAAGAGCTGAGAAAAGATGCTGCCTACTCATCCTTGACGACAATTAATCGCAAGTGTCAATCACCACTTTTGCATGTTTGTTAAAGTAATGGCCACTGTACAACTTTACTTGCTTACATTCAGTTTGCCTTTTTTGTGTGGTCCATTGCTCATACAGTGAGGCAAGCGAATTACTAACGCATGGCTATTCCACATACGACGAGACTGGTAAAGTACTACTCAACATAGTAACATTATTCAATTCACAACTCGCATCACACATCACACTATTTGTTGCTGCCACTGAACGATGCGTGCATTTTCGATCCTGGTTGTGCTTGTAGCTACACTTGTGGTGAATGGTGCCGCGGAATCCACGACTGCTGTCAACGTTACGCAAGAGAAGACCTTTTCGTTTCGGTCAAACGCTTTGGAAGATGCTCAACGAGAAGAAAGGGGATTAGGTAAGTATATCAGCTCCGGCATCAAGTCTATGAAAACAGCCAGGCTTCAACAACAAATTTCCCGAGAAAAGGCAGCTGCTTTAAAAACAGCGAATCAAAAACGACTGGGTGATGAAATTATGAAAGATCGCAAAAACCTGATTGATGAAATGTTTACTCAAACGCAAGCGTTTCTTCAGCATCTGCACAGAAACGAAGTCGATATGGACCGAGCATTTGATATCTTGGAGCTGCCCAAAAAAACAAGAGAAAATATTAAAATACATGACAAAATCAATTTTTCTGCTGGCGCTCCTGTCCCAAACTTGGATCAGTCATCTGCAGCAGCTGCATTCGTTATAAAAGAGCTGAATAAAAAAACAAGTTTCATATCGGCAATTCTATTGATATTTCGAAGAAAATCACGAGTGGCTAGTGCAGAGTTTGTACCGTAAGGATGTTGACGCATTAACCACGTTCCATTTACCTTATTGCCGTTATTTCATGTTTAATTTAGTTGTTCTATTAAGAAAAAGATTCATATGAGTTGTTCGTTTACGCAAATAGACTAGTCGCTGATCTAAACAAGGTTTCCTGAAGTTTAGTTATTGTACTTGGTCTCGTGATTACAGCAACAAGGCCAAAATGCTGGTGCTGCTTATTGTTGTTATAAAAGCTGCTTCGTCAACATTAATCCGTAACGCTTTCTTGTAAATGGTGAAACCAGATAAAATGTAGCCTATTATTTCAAAACTAAGCAATTATGCAAAAGTTTACTGTTTATCACTCTTGGCTAAAAGAGCAATGTAACTTCAGAACAAAGACTGCTTCTACCCTTCAAAGCTAACAAACGCACATAGATCGGGCTTGTACACTCCCTTTAGCAGCAAAAATCACGAGAGTCCCTACCGTTACTAAATGTCTATTTGATCTACTAGTTTAAGAGTATATGCATTTGAAATGGAAGCTATCTTGACTATTAAAATATACATTTTTTATAACTTATTCTCATAAAAAAACCGATTTTGCTATCTGAAATGCGGTAAGCAGCCCACGTATACAACGGACCTCGAGCTCAAGCATTTTTATAATCACCAATACGTACCTTTAATTTCACCAAAGAACAATGTGAAATTAATATGCGGGACACACTATTTCTTCAAAACTTCTCTTGTTTTTATAGACTGGGCAAACTGACCGATTCACGAGCTATTACTGCAGAGTCTAGCTCCCGTTGTTGCATTTGAATGTGTCCGCAACTTAGAGCGTACTTGTACTGTCATCATCTATTGTGCACGAAGTTACATGGCGAAACGAGCCTTCAAGAAAGGTGCGGTCCTCGCGACAGATGGGCTGGATGAAAGTATCAGCGAGGATGCTGAGTGCTACCCTATCAATTTGATTGTAGTGTCTATTTGATTCTTGACCGCACACCCTCTGCAGCGGGGCTGCCGTAGCTTTGCGCTTAGAGGAAGCGTAAGTTAGGTCACCGAACTTTCGTTCTGTACTTAGAACAAGTACTAGTTTAGCGGACCGCAATCCGCTTACTCCAAGAGTAATTACAACCTTAATTCAAAGCTAATTAATTCTTCCGTTTAAATTCAGAACTGACTTTATTTATTTTTATCTGCGGAAAAGCCGCCTAGTTCTAAATATTTAGATTTTCCTAAATACGTATAGTAAAAATCTGAATACATGTATAACTACTGGCTTTCCAGCCGCGTACCGTATTCTTGTTTGGATGTGGTCAAACCATGCCCATCTGGTGTGACAGACACCCCTGTTACCAGGGTATGTGCAACCCCGTTACACTCTCCCCGTTAAGATTGAGAACATTCACAGTTCCAATCGATTATTGCCTCAACAAGGCTTGCGTGTCCGTGAGACACTGCGTTCAATCGAAACGACTTACGTGCTCAATGAGTTCTGTGTTAATGACACCGAAGTCCTCAAGTCTCGCTGGTTCCGACAGCGCTCACGGCAGAGACCAGCTTCATCTCCCACACACGATGCCATGTCGAACCGTGACTCCGCGGCATCGAGGGATGTAAACCATAGGCTCGAAGAGCCCAAGCGTCGCGCTCCGCGCACGCAAACGGTGACGAGTGACTTCGATGGAGATGCGGAGGTAGTCGTTACGAGTCTGACACTCCTTTTCTCGGATTTAATGACGAGGAAGGCGAGCCGCACCAGCGGCGTGAGACGAGCCCTGCTGCGCCTTGAAAACCCCATGTACGTTTCTTGACTTCTCGACACCTGAAGAACGTGGTGTAATCACCAATGACCTCGATGAGGTTCAGAAGCGGCAGCTGATTGCTGCCCGTAAGGCGGCTCTCATGCGCGCCCATCCACGGTCGGTCATTGACCTTAGTGTGGAATATGGCTTCCGCCCAGCGGATTCTCTGTGGAAGCGAAGGACTCGGTAACTCGATCGTTACGCCTTCACATCATTGGACCCACGGCCATTATGGAAGATGAGCTTGTCGAACGGAAAGCTCTTCTAGCTCGTTTCTTGGTTCCACAAGAATTTCCGTTGGAAGCTTATAGCACTTGTTGCGTGCTCAACGAGGTGGCTCTCGTGTACCCGCAATGCGTAATATACCTGTTGTGATCGCCCCTGGCAAAAGCGCTAAAGATGACGAAGCGCCCTTTAACCGATGGGTGCAACGGTACCGCAAACTTTCCTCACTGTGTTCCTTACAGTTGAGCCACAAGGAAATGGACGTGCGTGTGAAGCGATACCTCCGTTTTGAGTTTGCCTGACTCAAGTCACGCCGTCGACTTCCTTTAGATTGTCGCCCTGCGACGTATGGGTCAACCCCAAACGCTTCCGCGAGCTATGTGTTTGCGACTGCAAGAGTTCAGGGCCACTTCTTGAGCTCAGCACATGACCCTTCTACTTCCCTGGCTATTGTCGGGAAGCGTGTAGCGTCTATTGACGCGGGACGTCCTGATCTTTCTGATCAAAAGCGTCCACGGCGTCTGGGCAATTTCGCAGAAGTGGTGCCTCAAACTCCCACGAGTTTTCGGAGTCGGGATTTCCCCGCCACACCACCAGATATTGGGTTGACCCTGGTGACGACGTCGTCCAACAA